AATTGTCCTAGCCACTATCTGGTTGGGGCTGACCTGTGGTGATGATCACTCATGTACAATTCCACCCACGGTGTTGGAATTAAGTTCTGAGTGTAGAGCATATCTGTTCTGGATGTAATGTAGTTCCCCCACTAGGGTGCTAATCTTCTGTTGACACACCCGTGATCTACGTCTCGAAAAAGTGATAACATTATCTTAATGAGGTGCATATATATATATACAGTACCAGTATAGAGGATGCATTAACGTAGGTGGAGAGTATCATAAGATAAATATTGCTAAGGGCAATTAAGTGTGGTATAAAAGACTGGAGGAAGCAAGAAAAAAAATCAGACCAATGCTTAGATGGGGAAATGAAGAAATTGTGGCAGTAGTGTAATAGCTATAAGTGTGAGCAGAAGTATTATTGGAAATACAATTTCAATTTAGGAAAATGATAACTTCAGTGTTCTCAGTGATAGCAGAAAAATCTTTGAAGTAGAGAGTTTAGAAGAGTAAAGAGCCACAAAACCACACTGCAAATCAATCTGGAACAATATCTTCATTTTCAAAGTAAAGACTGTGGCTATAAAAGAAAGTTCTCAGTTCCAAAAAATAAATTTCAGTGAAGCTTGGTATATTTCTTGGTACTATTAGTGAAATAATAAACAAGGATTTGTGGTTAGTGAAGAACCACAAGCCAAAGTTCCAAAGTATTCAGCTACATCTTGAGATCTATGGTTACCTAATGACCATTATAGCAATTGCATTAAATAGCTGATTAGAGCTGGGTGATTCGATCAATATAATCGATGGGTTTTGAACATGGATGACATTCATTGTGTTACATAAGACAAATTGTTAATCAAAATTACAATTAAATTGATTAATATCACAAAAAATAATCAAAATGAATGTTTCCAATTATTACTGTTTTGAATTAATCCAACTATCTAAATAATTGAAAGGTTGCCATCATTATGTTGGAAACCAGATTGACAGAACACAATAAAAACCGTCCCATGTTTTTCACCATTGCAGCTCAAAAAACCATAGTATATCTATTAAAAACACAGT